GTCCGCCATAGCCTCGGCCTACGAGAGTGAAGAGTGGGAGAGGCGGCCATGGCTATGGTGGACCTTAAGTGATACCTGCAGTAGAAGAGGGACTCGGACATTGATTCTGGATCAGTCATTCAACATTGTATTATTATTTCTCGTATGAATAAGAGAAGGGGGAGACGAGGAGGAGGAGATTGTTGGGCGAAGAAGAAGAGCCTTGTCATTGTCTTTGCTGGTGTACATCTTCTTCTTCTTCTTTCTTACTTCTTCTTCTTCTTCTAATCCTCTCTCTCTCTTCTCAAGGTCATTCATTTCTTTCTGCAATTGGATGGCATTGTACTTTCCGGTGGATGTGTATCTCGAAATTGGCCAGGGTCATAACAGCGCTGTACATCACCTGCTGATGCATTACATCAAGCCAAATCAGGTGGACTCGCATCCCTGGTCACTTACGCACTTACCCTGTTTTCCACGCTTCCAAGCTCACTCCTTTCGGGGAAACCGATCAGTTTCCCTCTCGTCGCTCAATGCTGCCCCCAACCATGGATGGAGAGGTCGACATCGACGACATTGTCGACCACAAGGAAATGCCAGTTCCAAGGCCGACAGGCAGGGACGTCCTCCGAAACCGAAACTGCAGTACCGAGTTCGGTTCAGACATCATACTGATCCTAAGGACGATAGATGGTTCACACGGGAGGAACTGATGCAGACCGCTCCGCAGGTTGTCGCTCAATATGCGAAGTCTCTGCAAAAAGGAAAGTGCCAGATTATCGAAGATTGAACTTCTCAGAGGACTAGCGAAGTATGGAGGAGGGAATGCGAGGCGTAGGCCTCGATAAGCCCTACTGGGCCCCTATTTACAACAGGTTGGCTGCCCTAAGTGAAGGCAGGCTCGACGGACAACAAGAGGCCTATTTTGGACTTCTTTGCAACTGAGGGAAATTCAGGCAGTTGCGCAGCGCCAGTTGGTTGAAGGCGCCCAGGCCCTGGGCGAGATACGCAGCATAGACCCAACTCAGACAGCGGGCAGTTGGGCACGGGTAACTGTCGGTGGCCCTGGGTCTGATTCGTTTGGTCTGAGGCTCAGCCTCCCTGGGCCTACCGGAAGCTTCTGGGCAGGGGCCCAGCGCAGCCAGGCTGCACGCAAGCAGGCTGGCCACTTCCGTTTAGGAAAGGGCCAGCCCACACATTGGATATTCGGGCACTGGCTGCTTTGTGCGCAAGCGCTGCTGCGGTATCGCTTGCCAGGCTCACGCGCTCACGGGCGAGCTGGAAGGAGCAGGCAGCCATAGGCGAGCTGCACTGCTGTATGCTGGATGGGGGGCATGGTGGTCCTTGGGTGCAAGTGGCATCTGTGAGTTGGGGAACGAGGTTGTGAGTGATACGAGAGACATACCTGGTGCTTGACGCGTGCGGCA